GTGGAATTATTCAAATCTGCCAACTCCCTCCTAATTGTAGTGAGTAACTAGAATTCATTTTTGGTGTAGTAAAGAAAGGTCTACAGCATGCACTGTATGTAAATGTTGCCAACCTGTTAGCTTCTTTGTACGCAGCCTCCGTGGCCTCACGTTCTTCAATCTGACGTTCGAACCAGTCCTGCATCTGTTCCCTCTGGTACTTATTTCGTGACTGTCTGGTGAGATCCTCACCCATAAACTTCTGCATCGAGGAGACGCCACAACGGGGATCGTCATCAGTTATTCTGGCGGGCCTGTCCTTCTTCAAAGCATCGGGGTCATAAAGGTCAAATTCTCGCCGACTCTGTGGCTGCTGATGCAGAAAACGAAATTCGTTCAGGGCTTGGTTCAGCTTCTGAATATCTTTGCGCTGACGTTGCTCACAAAGGACGGCAATTCGGTCAAATCGTTCGGCATCGTGCGCTATAGATGTAAGGAACATATTGTTCATAAGGCATATTGTGGCCGGCAACATGTAAAGCAGTTTTAAGGGTGCCTCGGAGCTACGAACCGGCAGCTGCTACCGCGAGCTATGAGGGTTGTCAGACTGGCTACCTTTCTACAGAGTTACAGCATAATTGATTTTGAATACCGGTTCAAGTGGAATTTCATGGCGGTTACTTAGTGTAAATTATGCAAAAATTGGAGAAAGCACGTTTAGTTAAGTGGAAAAACGTTTGCAAACATGATTCACTTGTAGTCCACGGAATGCTTTTGCCACTTCAATTACTAATGATAGTGACTGATCGTTTAGATGCCCTTATTTTCTGTAGAAGACACTTGTCTTCTTCCGATTTTCTCCCAAACGTCGGTATTCGGCCGACTACAGACACAGGATTTGGCACCAGAACCATTGCAACATGAAATGAAATTTAATGATCTTATAGTAGACGACCGTCGAAGAGCCGTATCGGCATTTCGCGTATAGTTGGGCTCAGTTCGATGACTCATGGCCAACCAATACCTCATTTGATAACGCTGGCACTCAGTTGCAGCTTGAAAAAACTGTATTGCGCTTTCCTTAACAATTATTGCCCAAAGAAATTCGATAAATACATTTTTACTGAAAATTTAGGCAGCATACTACGGCATCAACTGTAAAATTGAAGTATCTTTTGCACTGAGCAGGTTATCGTAGTTAGGGTTTGAAGTTGAAAACCCAACATAAAGTCGACAAATTCTTGTTATTTACGAGTCAACTAAAGTTCACATAAGACTGTTTTGGAAACTACTTCACACGTTCAGGTAAGCAGCTACTTGAGACAAGCATGTCACAACCTCGGATCGTACAGTTAACCATACACCTAAAATGTCTTGCGCATCCATCAACCCTGCCATCGTCAACTCTTTCGAAGCGTGGCCATCAGTACCAGCAACAGAATCTGCGCCGACTCAATACCTTCAGATCTATACTGCTCTCACTGACACCGCACAAGCATTTCCCGCATCAAACTGGTCTGTC